TGAAATAGATTTAGTGAAATGAAAGGTGACAGGGAAAAAGAAACCTGGCAAACCCTTTTCCAAAATTTTGGGTCAAAAAATATAAAGGGGAAATAGAGAGATAGATTAACTAAACCAGTTTGAACCTTTTCATGCAACCTTTAGACACGCCGACAAATTTAATGTTTTCTCTACTGTAGGATCAAAGCTAGCAAGCCAAATTCCTAGTAAAAATTCCTCTGAGCGAGTACCTCACTGGCAAAAACAAAACACACTATTCCTAAAACAAAACTAATCCAAACCCAAGTCTCACTATCATTAAAAACTTAAAAAACCCAAAACAGGTGATCTAGATAACTTGCCCTTTCATAATAAAAAAAACTTTCCCCCGAAAATGTCACCATTATTGCAAAAATGTTTAAAAAAATCTATAGCTTCTTCAAAACCTTCCCCTCCATACCTAAAACAGCAAGGGTCCCCCGATCCACCAAAAAAGGGGGAGATCCAATGATTTGAAAAAATTACAGACCCCTACAAACTTGCCCTTTTCATCCAAGATATTTTAAAAAAAATAATACACAAGTAAATTTACTCCTCCCTTTCATCCCACAACTTTAACCCCTTCAGTTTGGATTTAGACCAAAAAAAAAAAACGAATTTGCTATTTTAAAATGTTGACCTTTGTATACACGCTCTCGTAAGAATGAATTTTCCCCCGGGGCTCTTTTTTCGACCTAAAAAAAAAGCGTTGACACAGTTGACCACAACTCTTGCACCTCAAACTTTAATATTAGGCATTTAAAAGGAAAATTCTTTTGACTACCTGAAAACCTTCTTAAAAGACGCACAGTATGTTTCATGCAAATGGAGTCAAATCCCCTATCCCAACCCGTAGCTGAGGAGTACCCCCAAGGGAGTGTTCCCAGGGCCCCCTCCTCTTTTTCCCCCCCACATCATTTTTCCCCCAAAGCATCCCAATCTTTTCCCAGGGTTTTATTTGGGAGATGACACTACATAGGTTACTCCCTTCAGAAAAAGCCCGTGTTTTAAAAAAAATTTTAAAAAAATGAACCCGCCCAAAAAATATATTTCTTTGGGGTGATGACCAAAAAACTCCACTTAAAATAGAAAAAACTTACTTCATTTCTGGTTTTGGGAAAAGAGCCCAAATATTCAACTCAACATACGTTAAATGGTTTCCCCCATATCCCTGACACCGGAGGGGGAAATTCTAGTCTTCTCCTTGACTGTAATCTTAAATTTCGGGCCCCTACCCCTAAAAAAGCCAAGAAAAATTTTCCCAAAACAGTAGGAATCCTTTTCCCAAAATCCCCTTTTATGTTTCCAAAAAAAGGGTCTCCTTTCCTTTTACCACTCTCTAATATATCCTTACCCCACCCTTTGGTTTTTTATGCTTGGGGGGTCTACCACAGCCCAACCCCCTTTGACCTTAATAATTTCCCAAAAAAAAGGGTTGTGTGTGGGGTGATAACCCGCTCCTGTGCTTGGGCAAACACACCCCCCCATTTTTCAAAAGACTCAAAATTGCTAAATTTCAAGACATACACTTCCTTTTCATTGTGCCCACCCACATATACAGAAATTTAAACCCCCTGTAAACCCCCCCCCTAAAAATACTATCGACAGTTTTCAACAGAATGCAAGTCCAATTTCAAAGCTAAGACCCTTCAAAAAATCCCCCGGTAAAAAATTCAATATGTTAAAAACGTATGCACATAAAAAGGGGGCCCAAAAATCGGAACTCGCTACCCGGGAAAAATCAAAAGGGTCCCCCAAAAAATTATAAATTTATAAACTCTTTCTAAAAAATTAAACTTAAACTCACAATATTAACCAAAAGCCAAGCAAATTTTACTGGCTAGTTTTATCATGTGGCCTCCTGGCTTTTTAAAATTTTGCCATTCCCTAAAATTTACCACCTGCACCCTTTTCCCTTTTAAATTAATTTTGTTTCTAAATGCACAAAAAATTTTTTTAAGCCAAAAAGATTGTAAAAAAGTTTAACCCTATTTTTTATGTTTGTTTTAAGTAATTAAATTTTTAAGTCCCAAATTTATCTTATCTAGTTTTAATTAGTTACAGTGGACCCCCGCATAGCGACCTTAATCCGTGCAAGAGGGCTGGCTGTTATGCGAAATGTTCGCTATGTGAATGAATTTTCCCCATAAGAAATAATGGAAATCAAATTAATCCGTGCAAGACACCCAAAAGTTTGAAAAAAAAAAATTTTACCACATGAAATATACATTTTCCTACACACAAAGAGAAGGATACATGCACAATAGTAGAGTAGTACATGCACAATATATATTGTGCATGTACTACTCTACTAAATGAAGAATAAATGACACTTACCTTTATTGAAGATGCAGCAATGACTGATGAGACACTGTGTCCTGGGAGTGCCTTTTCCTCCTGAGTACTGTAGGTCCTGTTTGGTATTTTCTTCCAGAACAGGCCTTATCACACTGTGTATGTCACTACGATTCTTAAATCTTTCAAACCAACCTTTGCTGGCTCTAAATTCACCAATATGAGCACTAGTTCCAGGCATTTTCCCTGTTCACCTGGGTGTTAGTCGACTGGTGTAGGTTGCATCCTGGGAGACAAGATTAAGGACCCCAATGGAAATAAGTTAGACAGTCTTCGATGACACTGACTTTTTTGGGCTATCCTGGGTGGCAAATCCTCTGGGGTTAATTGTTTCTTGGTATTCTCAATAAGCCACACCAACAACGGTGCTACAGCAGCAGCAGCAGCAGCTGACGATGTTACAGCAGCAGCAGACGATGCTACAGCAGCAGCAGCAGCAGCAGCAGACGATGCTACAGCAGCAACAGACGATGCTACAGCAGCAGCAGACGATGCTACAGCAGCAACTGACGATGTTACAGCAGCAGCAGACGATGCTACAGCAGCAGCAGCAGCAGACGATGCTACAGCAGCAACAGACGATGCTACAGCAGCAGCAGACGATGCTACAGCAGCAACTGACGATGTTACAGCAGCAGCAGACGATGCTACAGCAGCAGCAGCAGCAGACGATGCTACAGCAGCAGCAGCAGCTGACGGTGGTACAGCAGCAACAGACGATGCTACAGCAGCAACAGACGATGCTACAGCAGCAGCAGACGATGCTACAGCAGCAGCAGATGATGCTACAGCAGCAGCAGACGGTACTACAGCAGCAGGAGCAGCTGACGGTGGTACAGCAGCAGCAGCTGACAGTGCAGCAGCAGCTGACGGTGATACCGCAGCAGCAGCAGCTGTACCACCAATAGTAGCGATGGTTGATTGGGGTTTTATTATACAACCTGGCCAGCTCGGAGACACGCACCCACTTTCATATTATCAATGATCTTTTTCTTCATTCCATAGTAATTCTCACCCTTATTGCTGTAGGGTTGGCACTAGAAGCTTTCTTGGGGCCCATGGTCACTTATTTTCCAGAAAAAAATCACCAAAAACACTGTAATAATACAAAATGTTCCGATTGTATGCTTGGATGTTACCGCGGAGGCTGGCTGGTAAACAATGCCACCCGCGGAACATGTGAGCGTGGCTCAGGCCGCAATTGGACGCGTCTCGGACGAAGGCCGCTGAGCGGGTTTTTGGGCGCTATGCGGGGCAAAATTTTAGCGATCAAAGCGTCCGCTATGCGGATTGTCCGCTATGCAAGGCGTCCGTTATGCGGGGGTCCACTGTACTATGTATTAGGATTAGTTAGCCTGAAATGCCTCGGCATGATAGTGGCTATCTTTGTACTTAGCAAATCAAAATTGTAACCTTTACAAAGAAATAAACATTTTTTTTTTTAACAAATTATTATTATTATTACCGCTGACGGTAGTGCAGCAATAGCTGGCAGTGGTGCAGCAGCAGCTGACCGTGGTACGATAGTATTTCTATAGTATTTCTCACCCTTTTTACCACAGGGTTGGCACTAGAAGCTTTCTTTGGACCCTAGGTGGCTTATTTAGCAGTTACAAACACTATAAACAATGGAATAATACAAAATGTATCGAAGTTATGCATGAAACCGACCACCCTGACTTGTAAACAATGATGGCAGGGCAGCTGAGGCACTCAGGCTGGACGGACAGATTCGGGACGAATCACGTTGGGCGAGTTTTTTATCGTTAGCCAGGCCAAAATTTTTACGCTCAAATGCTTCATTGGGCGGATTTAACCCTTAAACTGTCCAGACGTAGATGTACATTTGCACGCGTAGCGCTCCGAACGTAGATCTACATTTACACGCGTAGCGCTCTGAACGTAGAGCTATTTTTGGACAGTTTAAGGGTTAACGTTATGCGATGCGTTTGTTAGACGAAGGTCCACTGTATAGTATAGTACAGTACAAATATAGCTTGCTGAACAAAAGTGAGAGCTACAGTGGGAAACAAATTGACACCAGTTGCCTTTAAAATGCATTCATATTTAATTTATTTACATGTATTTTAAATAAATTTCATTCCTGATGAATACCCAGTATTTTAATTGCTGAACTGTATTAAGTACATGTATTTGTTCATGAGTTTGAATAAACATACTGTACATCAGTTTAGTAAAATGTTTAAGAGTATATACATTTTATATAATTGGCATAAAAATCAGTAGTTTAGACAGTGAACTATGAATTGGAACTTCTTAGCAATAATCAGTCTTGAAAATTCATTGTGGTACTGTAAATGTTTTACCTGCATGTATGTGCTATAGCGTACATTGGTCATTGTTAGAAGTACACGAGGGCGAAAAGTTGCATTTTGAAACGTTTGCAACACGTGCAGGAAATCTCAATGGCAGCATAAAAGAAATGGAATAAATGTGGAAACTCATAGTTGGATAGATCAACTTGGATGATTTTCTATTATGGTTACCTCTTCTAAGAACAGTACCTGTACTCTGAATGAATTTGACACTAAAGCTGTAGACAGTTATATGTGTATTGCAATGATTGGGACATGCTTACCTGTATTTATTTTTCATTTTTTCTTTAGGAAAGATACTCCAAGTGTAGAGGGTAATTGGGAAGAGATGTCGTGTGATTCTGACACATCACCAAACTTTCCCTTAACTGCTCCACGCTCTCAGGATGAGACAGAAGCTGCAAACATGCTTAGTAAGTATTTTGTTTTATGAAATGTGAGAACCCATTTGGACAGAAAAACGAAACACAGGTAGAGAGAGCTTTTTTTTGTGCCGGTCAGATACCCTCTCAGCGGATGAAAAGGGGTCTCTGACTGAGGCCAAAAAATGAAAATCTCTTCTTTCCTTTGTTTCATTTTTCTCCCCAAGGGGTTTCTTGTTTTTCTTTAAACCAGTGTAAATACATTTTGGGGTTAAATTTTTCTGTTGTGCTTTCCTGGGGAAGCCCTTTGGTTTTTGCGATTTTAATTTACGTATTTCCTCTGCTTATTTTGAACATGTTTTTAAAATCCCTTTTTCCCCCAGTGACTTGAATTTATATTATCAATCATAAGATAAAATTTAAAAAAAAAAATTGTTTTTATGGCTGGTTTTGTTGACCAAATTTTATTTTTTTAGTCCTCATACATTTTAAATTACAGAAGCGACAAAAGAATAGAAAAGCGGTTACGCACCAGGGTTTTTGACGTCCCCAGTACTCAAATTTACGCCCTCAAATCTGTGAGAGAAAGCTGGGTGGCCTAAAATTTAAAAGTGGGTTATGGGTCGTGTGGCGTATAAAAAAATCCTGCAGCAACGTGCGTAATGAGAAAAAAAAAAAAATTTGGCAGGTTTTTGGTTTAAAATAGCGACTTTTCCTGTATTTTGTATGGGATTTTATGGTATTCTAATTTTCCCGGTTATTTTAGAAGGAAGACATATTACAGAAATTAATGATTTATATTGGTTTTTTTCAATGAAAATACCTTGAAATTGGCTCAAAAAAGCAGAAATTTTTCGATTTTTGCCGAATTCAAAAGTAAAAAAAATCATGCTAGCGTCCATTTTCAGTCAATGGGGGTTAATAATCTTCACAAATTGCTGATATTATTATACCCTTTCTACATAAAGCAGTAGTTGAAAAACAGTAAATCTTTATTTTTGTAAGAATAAAATTTTCCCGTGGAAAGCAAAAGAATGAAAAAGGGACGTGGGGAGTACAAAAAACAAAAAAAGGAAATTTTTTTTGTGCAAAAATGCTTTTTTGTTTATTTTGCCCCATTTGGAAATTGGCACTTTGAAAAATTTTTTGAAAATTTGGGAAAATTTTAAATTCTGACCATTTATTGGTATTGAAACGGGAATGGGGGGTTTCTTGTACTCATTCGTAGAAAAAATGGAGTTTTAGCGAATTATTATGTTTTTTTTCGATAGTGCAGAAGACGTTTGTTTACAGCGCAATGGGATGTTTCAGCAGCAGCAGCGATGAACAGCAGCAGCAGCAGCAGAGGGATGCTACAGCAGAAAACGGGATTTGTTTCGAAAGAAAGCGACGAGGGCTACGCAGAAAACTGACGAGTTACAGAAAGCACCCGGGACGTTTGTACGCACCCGGGCGCAGCAGACGTTGTTTACAGAAAGCAGCACAGCTGACGGTGGTCCCGCAGAAAACAACGATGTACAGCAGCTTTTCAGACGATGCTCCCAGCACCCAGCAGCGATTTTTACAGCGCGCAGATGTTTGGCCAGCAGCACCCAGGGGGTTTTACTACGCAGCAGGGCAGTGAGGGTGGTCCCGGGGAAAGCAGGTGACATTTGGCAGGCAGCTGAGGTGTTACGCGGGAAAACCCAGCAGTTTTGTACCCCAAATTAGTACCCGGGGTTTTGTTTGGGGGTTTTTTATTATAAAACCCTGGCCAGCCCGGAGAAAACGCACTCCATTTCAATTTATCAATGATCTTTTTTTTTCTCCCATAGTAATTCTAACCCTTATTGCTGTAGGGGGTTTGGCATTTGAAGCTTTTTTGGGGGCCCATGGTACTTTTTTTCCCAAAAAAAAAAAAAAAAAAAAATTCACCAAAAAACACTGTAATAATACAAAATTTTTCCCGATTGTATGTTTGGGGTGTTACCGCGGAGGTGGTGGTAAAAAAAATTGGCCCCCCGGGGGAACATGTGAGGGGCTCGGGGCCCCCAATTGGACGGGGTCTGGGAAACAAAGGGGCCGTGAGGGGGTTTTTTTGGGGCTATGCGGGGAAAAATTTTTAGCGTCAAAGCGCCGCTATGCGGATTGCCCGCTATGAAAGGGGTCCGTTTGCGGGGGGCCCCCCTGTATATGTATTTGGAAATTAGTTACCCTGAAATCCCTCGGCAGGGTTGTGGTTTTTTGGATTAAAGCAAATAAAAATTTTTTAACCTTTACAAAGAAAAAATCTTTTTTTTTTTTTAAAAAATTATTTTTATTATTACCGCTGACGGTTGGGTTGCAGCAATAGCTGGCATTGGTGCGCAGCAGCTGCCCGTGGTACGATAGTATTTCTATAGTTTTTCTCCCCTTTTTTTCCAAGGGTTGGAAACTAGAAGTTTCTTTGGCCCCTAGGTGGCTTTTTTAGCAGGTTAAAAAAACACTAAAAAACAAGGGAAATTTAATAAAAAAATTGTATCAAAATTTTTATGCTTTGGAAACCGAAAACCCCTGACTTGTAAACAATGATGGCGGGGGCAGCTGGGGCCCTCAGGCGGGGGACAGATTGGGGAAACGAATCACGTTGGGCGAGTTTTTTTTCTTTTAGCCGGGCCCAAAAAATTTTTGTAAAATGTTCTTTTTGGGGGGGTTTTCCCCTTAAACTTTCCCAGATTTGATTTACATTTGAACCCCGTAGCGCCCCCGAAGTGTTTCTACTTTTTCACTTTTTAGCGTCTGAACTTTTGAGCTTTTTTTGGGGGACTTTTTTGGGGGTTAAGTTATGGATGCGTTTTTTTGCAAAAAGGTCCACTGTTTAGTATAGTACGAAAAAAATTTATAGTTGCTGAAAAAAAAGTGAGGGGACGTGGGAAAAAAATTTGACACCATTTTTTCCCCCTTTAAAATGCATTCTATTTTTTTTTTTAATGTATTTTAAAAAAAAATTTCATTCCTGATAAATTTCCCCAGTATTTTAATTGCTGAATGTATTAATTACATGTTTTTGGTTCATGAGTTTAAAATAAAATATTACTTTCAGTTTTGAAAAATGTTTGGGGGTATATACTTTTTAAATTTAATTGGAAAAAAATTCGTAGTTTAGGGGTGAATTTATAAAATTGGAACTTCTTAGAAATTAAACAGTTTTGGGAAAATTCATTTTTGGTACTGAAAAAGGGTTTTACCTGCATGTATGGCTATAGCGACATTGGTCATTTTTTAAAATTTTCACGGGGCGAAAAGTTCCCATTTTAAAATTTTTGCAAACACTTTGCAGGAAATTTCAATGGCAGCTTTAAAAAAGAAATGGAAAAAATTTTGGGAAAATTATTTTGGGAAATGGATAAATTGGAGGGATTTTTATTATGGTTACCTCTTTCTAAAAACAGTACCTTTACTCTGAATAAATTTTGGAAAATTTAAAGTGTAGACAGTTATATTTTGTTTTGCAATGATTGGGGACTTGTTCCCTGTATTTTTTTTTCTTTTTTTTCTTTAGGAAAGATACCCCAAAGTGTAGGGGGTTTAATTGGGAAGTGATGTGTGTGATTCGGGGAACTTCACAAAATTTTCCCCTTTAAAATTTGCCCCAGGGCTTTCAGGATGGACGGGAAGCTGAAAAATTTGTTAGAAAGTATTTTTTTTTTATGAAATGTGAAAAACCCCTTTTGGACAAAAAACGAACACAGGAGAGAAAAGGTATATTTGTCCCAGGTCGGGATCCCCTCTTTCAGCGGATAAAAAAGGGGTTCTGATGGGGCCCAAAAAAAATTGCAAAATCTTTTCTTTTTCCTTTGTTTCACTTTTCTCCCCAAAGGGGTTTCTTGTTTTTTTTTAAACCAGGGTTTTGCCCTTTTTGGGGTTAAATTTTTTTCTGTTGTTTTTTCCATGGGGGGAAGCCCTTGGGTTGTTTTGCGCGGGGAATTTATAGTATTTTCCTTGCTTTTTTTCTGAACATGTTTTAGGAAATTCCCTTTTCCCCGTGACTTAAAATTTTTATATTATAAATTTACATAAAAAATAAAAAAAAAAAAAAAATTGTTTTTATGGTGGTTTGTTGCCCAATTTGATTTTTTAAAGCCCTCATACTTTTTAAATTACAGAGATGGAAAAAGAATAGAAATTTTGGCTTACGCACCGGGGTTTTTTTTGACGTACTAAAACGTTTTAAATTCTAGGCCCTCAAATTTTGTGAGAGAAAGCGGGGTTAGGCATACATATGAAAGAGGGGGTTATGGGGTTTCAGGTGCGCAGTAAAAAAAAATTTCCTGCAGCACACAGTGCGAAATTTGAAAAAAAAAAAAAAACTTTGGCAGTTTTTTTGGTTTAAAATAGCGACTTTGACTGTTTTTTGGGTTGGTATTTTGTTTGGAAATTCTAATTTTCCTGGTCCCCATTTTATAAAAAATGGAAAAATTTATTACAGAAATTGAGATGATTTTTTTGGGGTTTTACAAGGAAAAGTATTTTAAAATTAAAGCCCCAAAATGCAAAAAATTTCTTGGGTTTTTTCCCGGGAAAAGTAAAAAGGGAAAAATTCATGTTCCGCGCCCCAATACACGTCAACTGGGGGGTTTTTAAAAAATTTTTTCACAAGTGTGTGATATTATTTATACCTTTTCTTACACTAATGCGGGTAGTTTTAATAACAGAAAATCTTCTTTTTTTTGTAAGAAAAAAAAAATTCCAAGGGGGGAAAAGAAAAAGTTTGTAAGAGGGGTGGGGACGGGGGCCCTAAAAAACGGAGAAATTTTTTTTTTAGTCCCAAAGGAATGTCTTTCTTGTTTTTTGGACCCTATTTGGAAATTGGCTTTTTTAAAAATTTGTGTGTTTTTGGGCCCAAAATTGCAAAATTTTTGACCCTTTATTGGATATTTGGGAAATGGGTTTTTAAATGGGGGGTTTTCTTGTACTTTTCGTAAAAAAAAAAAAAATGGGGGTTAAAATGGGCGGAATTAGTTATGATTTTTTTTGGGCTATTTACACTGGTTTTGGGCCGGAAAAAATAGGGGGCCCCAAAGGGGGGAAAA